CTCCCAAAAAAGTTCGCTCAAGAGAGAAGCAGCTCAAAGAAGAGATTTCTCAGAGAGAAGGTGTTGAAACCCAATGAAGACGTGAGATGACGCGAGTAAAATATAGTTTCGTCACCAACTGTGTCATACTCACCGGTTGCAAATCCTACGCCCAGTTGCCATCCTGATCGCGGGCACCCGGACTCAGCATCCCCAATCCGCATCACAGCAATGAGGAAACGTCTTCACTACGTGGTGATTTCAATGCTCACTACTGCCCTCTGCAAATGAAATGTTGGCGCAGTTCCTCACACACCCCGGTGTTTTTCCACCATGCAAAACCCTAACTATTTGCATGTTTTGCGCTCGTGCTGAGCAATCTTACCTGGCTTGGTTGTTGTTGCATGTTGTTCCGAATTTGGCAAGTTTGCCGTGCTGACGTCTGCAACTATTCAGTATACATGCGGAATGATGTGGAATGTGTATATGCACACGGGCCCGTGAACAGCTCAGGCCTTTCCGCTTGATTCTTTGTAAGATTATGATCGAATTTTGTACGCTGTTTTCTTGCTTTATGTTGTTGGGTTATGTTGAGTCTCGACTTAATTACAATCCAAGAAGGATTGCAGCAAAACATTTTGCCTTGGGCAGATCACACCGACCCTTCAACAGCTTTCCTGGACAACAGTTTTCGCTGGGTGGGTAAGGGGCTGAGATTTTCTGACATCGCCCGGTAGTGTCATGAAGCGTTGTGCGAATTTGCGTGGGGCAAACAAAGTCTCCGGCTTGCTTGTCCGCCCAGGTGCGTGATTACAAACCCAGAGAAGGCACAACCGGCACACAGCTCAAGAACCACAACAGACTGTTGACCATATAAGCGTTTCGCGCTGTTCCGCCAACACATGCGTGTCACATATGGTAACGACATTTAAATATGTGGAGGGCGGGCCAGACCGCGAGGCCCCTGAAGTAGTATGAAATACCAGCTCGTGTATTTACATGTAGTTACCGTATGTTTAAATGAATTGGATTCCGTGTGTTTAAATAACCGGGCGGGCCAAGGAAAACTTTCCCCAAGGTAGTCTAAAGTACCTTTTGGTATAACTAAAAGTCGGTATATTTAAATGGAGCTACCGTATATATATATATATAAATATATATATATAATTTATAATTACACATATATATATATATATACACAAATAATTACACACATATTTACATAATTATACAGATTTATACATAATTATACATAATTATACATATATATATACATTTATATGTATGTATGTAATGTAATGTAATGTAATGTAATGTAATGTCATGTCATGTAATGTAATGTAATGTAATGTAATGTAATATAATGTAATGTAATGTAATGTATGCATGTATGTATGTATGTAATTAATGTATGTATGTATGTATGTATGCATGCATGCATGCATGCACGCATGCATGCATGTATGCACGTATGCACGTACGTACGTACGTATGTATGTAATGTATGTAATGTACGTAATGTATGTATGTATGTAATGTAATGTAATGTAATGTATTGTAATGCAATGTAATGTAATGTAATGTAAGTAAGTATGTATGTATGGTACTTGGTGAAAGCCCTAAGTTGTCTCAGGCAGCACTTTGTTGTCTCATCTCGGTGTGCCATGCGAAAGATCTGACACAACCATTGGAATGGAGTTGTCATTTGGTATGATCTTTACAGCACAACGCATAGGCACGCAAGGATTCTTAACATTGCAAACATTAGTTATATCCATTTGCCTCCCTAACAATCCCTGGGTTACTTTTATGGAGTTTAGCGGTGCCTTTTGGCTTTTGGTGGAATGATATATTGTTACAAAATGAGGTTTAGACAAGCTCAATTCAATCTGCAAAGATCAGCAGATGCGCGAATGATTGGGCACTTTGGCCCAAGATTGCTTTGATTGGTGTTTCAATGGCAATGGAACCCCCCCGCAAGAAGCGATCTCGCAATGATGGGGTAAGCCCTTTCTTGTCTCAGATAGCACTTTGTTGTCTCATCTCGGTGTGCCATGCGGAAGAAGTGACACAACCACTACATGATTTGTTATTTGGTATGATCTTTACAGCAAAACGCATAGGCACGCAGGGATTCTTAACATGGCACACATTAGTTGTATCAAGTTATATCCATTTGCCCCCTAAGAATCCCTGGAGCAACGTGAGTTTCCCACACAGTGTGTACACACTCGGGGGTCTTGTGATCGGTCCTCCTCCTCCTCCTCCTTTTCCTCCTCCTCCTCCTCCTCCTCAGTATCATCATCTTCCTCCTCCTCCACATCATCATTCTCAGCATCATCCTCGTCCTCCCCCTTGACATCATCATCCTCAACATCGTCATCCTCCACCTAATTTTCTGCAACATCCTCCTCCTCCACCTCCTCTTCCGCAACATTAATTATCATCCTTTTTATCCTCCTCCTCAACATGATCATCCTCAACATCATTATCTTCCTCCTTCTCAACATCGTCATCCTCCACCTCACCATCCTCCACATCATCATCCTCCACCATATCTTCCGCAACATCATCCTCCTCTTCCGGACCTTATTGCTTGGATCTTTCGGACCTATCCACATCGTTTTCACCATTTACTGTTTTTGATCTGACGTGGGGATACGTGGGGTGGGTTCTGGCTGGGATGGCAAAATGTAATTCCGGTACCTCGTCCGGTATCTCGTCCGGTACCTCGTCCAAAAACCTTTCCAGAGCCATGATTCTGGTATTACATCCATATTCCATATGTCTCGGATTCCGTTACAGCAGGGCAGGGTGTGATTTCAATGTGATTAATTTCAAACTTTGTTTGTGAAAGTCTTCCACTCTCCTGCAAGTGTGCCATTGGGATTTTAGTTTTTTTGAGAACGACACCCTTTAATTTGTTTTTTTTGAAAATACCAGAACGCAAGCTGGTGATGCTGTTTCAATGCTTGGCTAAGCTTTTGACCTGGAATTGCTTTTGGCGGTGTGCCATTGAGATTTGACTCCAAGTTGACAGGTCGCACCTTCCCATATTCTGATTCCGGGCATAGCGAAATGCAAGCTAGGAACATGATTCAAAGTTTGCAACGACTTCGTGAAAGTCTTCCACTCTCCTGCAAGTGTGCCATTGGGATTTTCATTGTTTTTTGAGAATGGACACCCTTTATTTTGTTTTTTGGGAAATACCAGAACGCAAGCTGGCGATGCTGTTTCAATGCTTGGCTAAGCTTTTGACCTGGAATTGCTTTTGGCGGTGTGCCATTGGGATTTGACTCCAGGTTGACAGGTCGCACCTTCCCATTTTCTGATTCCTAGCATAGCTAAGTGCAACTAGGGACATGATTCAAAGTTTGCAACGACTTCGTGAAAGTCTTCCACTCTCCTGCAAGTGTGCCATTGGGATTTTCATTGTTTTTTGAGAATGGACACCCTTTATTTTGTTTTTTGGGAAATACCAGAACGCAAGCTGGCGATGCTGTTTCAATGCTTGGCTAAGCTTTTGACCTGGAATTGCTTTTGGCGGTGTGCCATTGGGATTTGACTCCAGGTTGACAGGTCGCACCTTCCCATTTTCTGATTCCTAGCATAGCTAAATGCAACTAGGGACATGATTCAAAGTCTGCAACGAGTTCGTGAAAGTCTCCCACTCTCCTGCAAGTGTGCCATTGGGATTTTAGTTTTTTTTCAGAATGGACACCCTTTAATTTGTTTTTTTGGAAAATACCAGAACGCAAGCTGGTGATGCTGTTTCAATGCTTGGCTAAGCTTTTGACCTGGAATTGCTTTTGGCGGTGTGCCATTGAGATTTGACTCCAAGTTGACAGGTCGCACCTTCCCATATTCTGATTCCGGGCATAGCTAAATGCAACCTAATAACATGATTCAAAGTTTGCAACGACTTCAAAACATGATGCATCTGAGCCGCTGTGCCTTGGGGATTTGACACCTGGGGTAACTACTGTCTGCCCTGGGGTAACTCGGTGTGCAATGGGGTAACTTAGGGCGTCTGCTTGTATGTATGTATGTATGTATGTATGTATGTATGCATGTATGCATGCATGCATGTATGTATGTATGTATGTATGGTATGTGTGGTATGTATGGTATGTATGTATGTATGTATGTATGTATGTATGTATGTATGTATGTATGTATGTATGTGTGTATGTATGGTATGTATGTATGGATGTATGTATGTATGTATGTGTATGTATGTATGTATGTATGTATGTATGTATGGTAATGAGGTATGTCTGGTATGATTGTAGTCATTTATGTTCGTGTACCTTTCCTGGTAATGTAATATCCGTCTTTCTTATGTCTGTTCTGTCATGTCTGTCATGTCATGTCTCTGTCATGTCTGTATGTCTGTCTGATCTGGTCTGTCTGTCTGTCGGTCCTGTATGTCTGTCTTCTGTCACCTTCTGTCTGTCCTGTCTGATCTGTTGTCCTAGTCTGTCTACTCATGTATGTATGTATGTATGCTCTGTCTAGTATGTATGTATGTCTGTCTGGTCTGTATGGCCTGTCTGTCATGTATTTATGGTATGTATGTCTGTCTGTCATGTCTGTCTGTCTGATGTTGTATGTAATTATGTTATGTATGTAATGTTATGTATGGTAATGTATGGTAATGTATGGTAATGTATGGTAATGTATGGTAATGTATGGTAATGTATGGTAATGTATGGTAATGTATGGTATGTATGGTATGTATGTAATGTATGTAATGTATGTAATGTATGTATGTAAGGTATGTAAGGTATGTAGGTATGTAGGTATGGTACGTATGGTACGTATGGTACGTATGGTACGTATGGTACGTATGGTACGTATGGTACGTATGGTACGTATGGTACGTATGGTACGTATGGTACGTATGGGACGTATGGTACGTATGGTACGTATGGTACGTATGGTACGTATGGTACGTATGGTACGTATGGTACGTATGGTACGTATGGTACGTATGGTATGTATGGTATGTATGGTATGTATGGTATGTATGGTATGTATGGTATGTATGGAATGTATGGTATGTATGGTATGTATGTTACGTATGGTACGTATGGTACGTATGGTACGTATGGTACGTATGGTACGTATGGTACGTATGGTACGTATGGTACGTATGGTACGTATGGTACGTATGGTACGTATGGTACGCATGGTACGCATGGTACGCATGGTACGCATGGTACGCATGGTACGCATGGTACGCATGGTACGCATGGTACGCATGGTACGCATGGTACGTATGGTACGTATGGTACGTATGGTACGTATGGTACGTATGGTACGTATGGTACGTATGGTACGTATGGTACGTATGGTACGTATGGTACGTATGGTACGTATGGTACGTATGGTACGTATGGTACGTATGGTACGTATGGTACGTATGGTACGTATGTATGTATGTATGTATGTATGTATGTCTTATGTATGTATGTATGTATGTATGTATGTATGTATGTATGTATGTATGTATGTATGTATGTATGTATGTATGTATGTATGTATGTATGTATGTATGTATGTATGTTATGTATGTATGTATGTATGTTATGTATGTATGTTATGTATGTATGTTATGTATGTATGTAGTTATGTATGTATGTAGTTATGTATGTATGTATGTATGTATGTATGTATGTATGTATGTATGTATGTATGTATGTATGTATGTATGTATGTATGTATGTATGGTATGTATGGTATGTATGGTATGTATGGTATGTATGGTATGTATGGTATGTATGTATGCATGCATGTATGTATGAATGAATGTAATGTAATGTAATGTAATGTAATGTAATGTATGTATGTATGTATGTATGCATGCATGTATGTATGTATGTATGTATGTAAAGTGATACCAGTAGCACCACAGAAGGCGGTGGCGGAAGTTTCAAAAATAGGACACTTATAGGAGAGATTGGTTGTTGTGAATCACGGATGGCAGAGCGAATCCACTGATGGACCGAAAGGAGCTTGAGGTCTCCTCTCTTTCTCTCTCTTTCTCTGACTACCTACCTACCTACCTACCTACCTATCTATCTTCTATGTATCTATCTATCTATCGATCTATCTATCTCTCTCTCTCTCTTTCACCTAATTACCTACCTATCTATCTATCTATCTGTCTATCTATCTCTCTCTCTCTCTTTCATCTGTCTATCTGTCTACCTGTCTATCTGTCTATCTATCGATCTATCTATCTATCTGTCTACCTGTCTATCTGTGGTGCAGTGTCATTCAGTGTAATGTAGTGTAGCGTAACGTAGTGTAGTGTAGTGGAGTGTAGTGGTTTGTAGTGTAGTGTAATGTAGTGTAATGGAATGTAGTGGAGTGTAGTTGTGTAGTCGTAGGTGTAGTTGTAGTGGAGTGTAGTGGAGTGTAGTGGAGTGTAGTGAAGTGTGAAGTGCGGAGTGTGGGGTGCGAAGTGTGGAGTGTTGAGTGTGAAGTGTGGAGTGTGGAGTGTGAATTGTGGAGTGGAGAGTTTGGAGTGTGAAGTGTGAAGTGCGAAGTGTGGAGTAGAGAGTGCGAAGTATGAACTGTGGAATTTGGAGTGTGTGAAGTGTGAAGTGTGGAGTGCAAAGTGGGAATTGGGAAGTGTGGAGTGCGAAGTGTGAAGTTAAGTGAAGTGAAGTGTGGAGTGTGATGTGAGAAATATGGAGTGTGGAGTGTGAAGTGTGCAGTGTCGGGTGCGCACTATGAAGTTTGGAGTTGGGAGAGTGAAGTGTGGAGTGTGCCGTGTGAAGTGTGGAGCGTGGAGTGTGAAGTGTGGAGTGTGGAGTGGGGAGTGTTGAGTATGAAGTGTGAAGTGCAAAGTGTTGAGTGTGGAGTGTGAAGTGTGGAGTGGAGAGTGCAGACTGTGATGTGGAAAGTGTGGAGTGTTGTGTGTGGAGTGTGAAGTGTGAAGTGTGCAGTGGAGAGTATGAGGTGTGAAGTGTTGAGTGTGAAGTGTTGGGTGTGAATGAAGTGTAGAATGCGGAGTGTGAAGTGTGAAGTGTGGAGTTCATGGTGCAAAGTGTGAAATGGAGTGTGAAGTCTCGAGTGTGGAGTGTGAAGTGTGGAGTGGAGAGTGTGAAGTGCGAAGTGTGAGGTGTGAAGTGTGGAATGCCAAGTGTGGAGTGTGAAGTGTGAAGCGTGTGAAGTGTTAAGCGTAGAGTGTATGGAGTGTGGAGCTAGGGTGTGAAGTGCGGAGTGTTGAGTGTGAAGTGTGGGGTGTGAATTGTGGAGTGGAGAGTGCGGAGTGTGATGTGGGAAGTGTTGAGTGTTGAGTGTGAAGTATGAAGCGCAGAGTTTGGGGTGGAGTGTGAAGTGTGAAGTGTGGAGTGGAGAGTGCGGACTGTGATGTGGAAAGTGTGGAGTGTTGAGTGTGGAGTGTAAAGTGTGAAGTGTGCAGTGGAGAGTGTGAGGTGTGAAGTGTTGAGCGTGAAGTGTAGAGTGTGGAGCGTGAAGTGTGAAGTGTGGAGCGGAGGGTGCAAAGTGTGAAATGGTGTGTGAGGTCTGGAGTGTTGAGTGTGAAGTGTGGAGGGGAGAGTGTGGAGTGTGAAGTGTGAAGGGGAGGTCGAAGTGTGGAGTGTGAAGTCTGAAGTGCGTGGAGTGTGTGGAGTGCATCGAGTGTGGCGCTAGAGTGTGAAGTGCGGAGTGTGGGGGTGTGAAGTGTGGAGTGTTGAGTGTGAAGTGTGGAGTGCGGAGTGTGAATTGTGGAGTGGAGTGCGTGAAGTGTGGAGCGCGAAGTGTGGAGTGTGAAGTGTGGAGTGTGGAGTGGAGAGTTTGAAGTGTGAAGTGTGTGGAGCGTGGAGTGTGAAGTGTGGAGTGGAGAGTGTGAAGTGTGAAGTGTGGAGTGCGGAGCGTGGAGTGTGGAGTGGAGAGTGTGAAGTGTGGAGATTGTGAAGTGTGGAGGTTGTGAAGTGTGCAGTGTGGAGCGTGGAGTGTTGAGTGTGAAGTGTGGAGTGTGGAATGTGGAGTGCGAAGTGTGGAGTGGGAAGTGTGGAGTGTGGGGTGTGGAGCGTGATGTTTCGAGAGTTAAGTGTGGAGTTAAGCACGCAATTGCGTTGGATGTTTGTTGCTTTTGTGGCCCCATAACTTGAAAGTCTGAAGATCTGAGACAGTCAGACAGCGCCTGGCACAGTTCGGAAAAATACAGTAGTTGCTTATGTTGCCTCAACTTATCTTGCCCCTGTAGTTTCTCGGTGCGGAGTTTGTTGGAGACTTGCAAAGGGATAAACAGGACCTTGGCCACTGGAACTTTATCCAGAGATGTTTGCCCCCATGGTCCCAAAAATGATTCTGGATATTTTTTGTGTACCATGTACGCCTGGGGGTTGTGCCATGTTGTGCCCTTTTTTGGGAATGGAAATTTATTCCGAAAAAAGCTTGGCCCCAAGAAATTTATCCGGGATAAATTTGGGTACAAACCCCCGTAGGCACCGCACACCGGGATCTGGAGTGCGAAGTAGTACTGGGAAGTGCCTTGTGCAAGCTTTGTAGTACAAAGTAGTACTGGGAAGTGCCCTGTGCAAAATTTGTCCTACAAAGTACTACAGGGAATTACTCTGTGCAAGATTTGCACTATAAAGTAGTACTGTGAGGTACTGTGTGCACACTTTGTACAAAGTAGTACTGCGAGGTGTTCCAGATGTGTCAAGCAAGAGTGTTTAACAAGAGTATTTTATTTTATCAGAGCGTTTCAGAATATTGAGAGGGAGTGTTTTACCAGAGTGTGCCACAAGAGTGTCTCACAAGAGTATGCCACAAGAGTGTCACGCAAGAGTGTCCCACTGTCCGAGAAGAGTGTCAAGCAAGAGTGTTCTGTAAGAGTGGTTTTTTAAATGCGATCGGGCATCTCCTGTTCGCTTTTTATTGTTCTGTAGGAACCCTTCTTCTACGTGAATTTTTAAAAATGCATTCGGGTGCGTGGTTTCTATCAGGTTCAGTTGTTCCCCACCTGCCAGGTGAGGGTTGTTAGATTTTATGTCAGTTGCCTGCTCCTCTCCTCCTCTCCTCTCCTCCTCTCCTCTCCTCCTCTCCTCTCCTCCTCCTCCTGCTCAACCGCGACCCTCGACGCACAGTGTTCTCTGTCGGACCTCAACCACGATCATCCACGCCCAGTGTTCCCTGCCGGACCTCAACCACGACCATCCCCGCCCATTGTTCCCTGCCGGACCTCAACCACGACCATCCACGCCCAGTGTTCCCTGCCGGACCTCAACCGCGAGTATCCACGCCAAGTGTTCCCTGCCGGACCTCATGTAGGAAGATATGGGACAAAGAATGTGCAGAAGAAAGTTAGAAAAAATGTCAGACAAGTATGTTATATATTACTTGCAAACTCGCGCGTGTGTGGTAGAGTGACCGGGGCAATGCCACTTCTTACTTTGCAGGTGGCCAGATAGAATGCCAGAAGATATGCCAGATGGAATGTCAGATAGAATGCCAGAAGATAGCCATGAGATATGCCAGATAGAATGCCAGAAGGTATGCCAGATAGAATGCCAGAAGATATGCCAGATATAATGCCAGAAGATCTGCCATATAGAATGCCAGAAGATATGCCAGATAGAATGTCAGATAGAATGCCAGAAGATATGCCAGATAGAATGCCAGAAGATTTGCCAGATAATATGCCACAAGATATGCCAGATAGAATGCCAGAAGATATGCCAGAAGATATGCCAGATAGAATGCCAGAAGATATGCCAGAAGATTTGCGAGATAGAATGCCAGAAGATATGTCAGAATATATGCCAGAAGATATGCCAGAAGATTTGCCAGATAGAATGCCAGAAGATAGGCCAGAAGATATGCCAGAACATATGCCAGAAGATATGTCAGAATATATGCCAGAAGATATGCCAGAAGATTTGCCAGATAGAATGCCAGAAGATAGGCCAGAAGATATGCCAGAAGATATGCCAGATAGAATGCCAGAAGATATGTCAGATAGAATGCCAGAAGATTTGGCAGTAAGAAAATATATGAATGTCATGGTGGGGATCACACGAAGCAAAGTAATTTTTTTGTGACCTGTGGTTTGCCCAATGGAGACTAATCAACACATTTTCATCTGTGAATCCAAAAGCGGCAGCTAACGTGACGACTTCACAGAGAACGCCAGATAAAGCCATGGACCGAAGACAATAATGGCACATTTCGAAGTGATGATCCATGCCCTTCCGCAAATCGTGATCTCGAACTGAAAGTCAACAGGATGGACCTGACAAGGGTGGAAATGGAATTGGGCACATATGCACTATATATATATACACATGTAATTATATGATTTATATGGAGTTGCATTTTTCCGATGATATTGATGAATTATTTCATAGACAGAAAGGTTGTGTTCACAGGCAGACACTGCAGCTAGACAGACACAGAAACGGATATGAGTTTACGTGCACAATCATCATGTAGGTACGCCATCGGTTTCCCCGTTCAAGGGTTCCTGCTTTTTGGCTGCCCAGATCGGATTGCCAAAAAGAGCGGAAGGAACGTGGCATTGGATGGGATTTGTGCATTCCTCAGACATTTGGAAAAAAATGCGGTACCAATTCTAGGCAAATGTTTTGATTGCTGAGGCCTCGACCTATTTCTTCGTCAATCCGCGCGAAAAGTTGTCGGCGTGTTTTCTGACTCAGTTGGTCTCGCACAGGAACAGTGCTTGCCGAGGGTGGGCAGGCTATTTTGACCTACGCCTTTTTGTCACAGAACCCCTGAGCCTTTGCAAGTGGTGCCAGGACATACCCCATCTTGGACGAATTAGTAACCGGCGTTCACGAATCCTTGACTTGAAGCTGGAGCGGAGAAAAGAAGTGTGTCTGATCGCCGTGAGATTGTGGTTAATTAAATATTTATAGTAGTGCCTTCTGAACTTCATGCGCTCAGAGTGTGCTGATTGGACATGCACAAGTTCGGGTTCAGGTTGTTTTCTTGTGAATCCTGCATGCATATCATGCATACACGATTATACACGATCCAAGTTGATCACTCCAGCGCCCTCAAAGAGAATCAACAAGATGCGGTTCGGAGCGGCGAAGGATGGGATGGCATAAAGTGAGACGTGGTAAAATCTGATGAGCTGGCGCCAACGGACAGATTGGTTATCACATGTGATCCCACAATGGCCACAATATGATTCTGTCACATTTTGTCATGGGCCATGGCCATGGGTCTTCCCTTCTTGGCTCTTCGTAAGATTGCATTTGATTGCGCAAACCTGTCAAGTCATGATCCACCCACCGTAAGTCTGAGTCTATGTGTTGCACGACTGAAACGGGATGGAAGATATATCTTTGAGCCATGGATGAAGCCTGTGGAGATGAAGCGATATCCTCGGAAGACATCCAAAGGCGGGTTTGTGGACCCTGTGAAGACAAACGTGTCCCGGGCCATGATGTCAACAGAAAATGGCCTTGGGCCGTGCACCCAGGTGTGCTGCGGTGCTCAAGCGGATGACAGCTTCAGCGCCTTGGCTGCTTCCAAATTCCATTCCGATGCTGGTTTGTCAGGATTCTAAACTCGCATGTGGAAATATTGACAAACACGCGCACAAACACAGTCAGTCAGCCAGCCGTCCGTCCGTCCGTCCATCCATCCCAGTCAGTCAGTCAGTCAGTCAGTCAGTCAGTCAGTCAGTCAGACACACGTCATGGCCACGGCGCGATCTGCCCAAGGACTTGTTGCGTGCTGAATTTGCTGCTATCCGAGAGGACATCATTTTTCGCAAGCAGCGTCTTCATGTAACCCAAGAAGACATTAATTTCTTGGGTCAGAAATCCATGTCGGACAGATGGACAGCTCTTGGCAGAAGCTGCGCTACCTGGACGCGTTCTTTTTTTGGAAAATAATGATTGAAAGTGGTTGAAGATTAAGAGAATAGTGGAAAGGCCTTTCCCACATGCTTTCACCGTTGCCCATGTTCAGATCCTATTCCTTTACACTCACTGCTCGCAGGCCGGCATGCCTGTGCCCACGGCTGAGGCTGTTTTTGATGTTTTTGCAATGGAGGTTGTTTTTCCGTTTGGGCATTTTGTTCTGCTTCCCTGCTTTTTTGCTTTTCTGATTTTATGCCTTTCTCTTTTCTGCGTTTCCCTGCTTCTCTGCTTTTATAGTTCTTTGCTTCTTTGCTTCTCCACTTTTCTGCTTCTTTGCTTCTTCGCTTCTTTACTTCTCTGCTGTGCTGCCTCTCTGTTTCTCCGCTTTTCTGCTTTTCCCTGCTTTTCTGCTTTTCCAGCTTCTCTGCTTTCTGCTTTTCCCTGCTTCTCTGCTTACCTGCTTTTCTGTTTCTCTTGAACCAAACCTAAATAAACCTTAAAAAGATCTTAAACTAACCCTTAAGAAAACCTAACTAAACCATACTATATAAAATATAAACCCTACTGTAACTCTAAAACCAAGCCTTAAACAACTTTAAACCAAACAACACCCCTAAACCAACCCTAAATGAACCTTAGTTGCAAAGTACCATGTTACATGAACGGTTCCAGCACCAAAATGTTGCAAATTCCATCTAAAATGAGAGGTTCGAACTGCAAATACCCTTGAGACGGCAGCTTCCAGCTCCAAAATGTTACAGATTCCACCAAAATGTTGCAAAATCTAAGGAAAATGAAAGGTTCCAGCTCCAAAATATCACAGAGACAGTTGAAACGGCAGCTTCCAGCTCCAAAATGCTGCAAATAGCAAGGAAAACGGGCGCGCAGAAAAGTAGATCAAAAAAACATGATTCCCAAAACAATTCCGGAGCGTCGAGTTTTCTCGTATTGTAAAAATGTACGGTTGGTGCCCCGTGGTTTTGGTGTGTTTTGTGTTTTGTGGTTGATTGATTGATGTTTTTGATTGGGTTTGACCAAGGTTCCGAAGAGTCGTATTGAAAGAAAGATTTGGCTCCGAAGACGTCCTGGGCTTTCTCAAGCAGAAATCAGCAACCAAGCTGAAATCAGCGGGTGCCAACACACAAGCGGCGGCACAGAGGCTGCAACTGAGAGCGCAAGAGGGGTAGCAGCGCCACGAAAATCGAAGCATTACAATGAAACTATAGCGTTGCAAAATGTTTCAGAAGAATGCAAGAGATATCAAGAAATCTATAGAAATCTGGAATGGTGCCTTTCATTGCATACTGTACCAAGGATGTTCACCAGATGCCGCTTGTCTGTCAGCTGCCATGGTGAAGACCTGCAAGGATTTGGACGGTTTCTGCCGAACACTAGGGCCATCATGACTCATACGCAAGACGACCCAAGGACAACAAAGCTTCAACGTCTTCATAAAGTCGTTAAGGATGAACACGAAGAACGGCGGCGAAAGGCTGCTGGGAGTCAATCTTATCGTCAGGGCAGCTACACCTGTCCACGAATCGCGCTTGATGCGACAAATGAGTATTTAGTTTTTATGTTGTGCAGTTTGTTGTTGTATCCATGCTTCTGTTTTTGCAAACTTAAGCCAGACCTCGGAAGAATTATAGAGCGAGAGAGAGAGAGAGAGAGCTTCAAGGCTTCAAGCTGACGAGCTTTCTTGGACTCCACAACCATGATATGTACATACTCTGCACTTTTTTCAGAGTTGTGCTGGTGTCTTGTGTCGGCAGTCACAGTCCAGGTGCGCCTCTGCGCATTTCTGAGTTTACCCAGTGTTTTCAACATGTAGTCTACTCAGTTTGAGCCCTCTTAAGATTCAGAAAGATCATTTTTTATTTATGTTTTGCATGTGCCTTCGAAGGCAGAGACGTGTGGCATGAATTTGCGTCGAAAAGCAGATCTGGCCGCAATCAAAGCTGAGAGCCAACTTCCAGAGGCTCTGAGCATTGCCGATTTGGCTGAGGAGCATTCAGGCGCGGCGACTTTCTTGACATCGTTATGAAGGGCATCCGGAACAACTGGAGTAAGCTGAATAAGCTGAATAAGTGCATGAGTGCATGCTAGTGCAATTTGTTTTGCGACCATCCCCAAAGTCTGGCTCAGGTGAGGCTCCTTTGGAGGACATTGACAGATATTTGACTTCTTTCAGGGTTGGTGCATGTTCGTTCTTGCTAGCACTGCGCATATTAAAAAAAAACTATAGACGGTATCAGTGTGTGTGTGTGTGCGCGTGTGTGTGCGCATCACTTGCAAACAAAGGGGCAGGGTATCGTACGATGCAACACGTGGGAAGTTCATGGAAGTTCATCAGTGAATGTTATTTTGGTAGAACCGACTCGAAATATCATCAAAGCTGAACTGTATATAGATTATATAGTGATCCAAGATTTGCGAAACATCTCGAACTGCTGGCTTCGCTGGGGCCTTCTGGATCTCAGGAATGCTCAAGGCTCCTGTGGACAGTTTCTATTCCAATTGCAACATGTGCAGAGGCTGGAGGGTCAAAAAAGACATGTTTGAAAGTAGTGTTTGAAGAAAGTTTAGATGTACAAATGCCAGGCCATGCAGGACTCAATGGCTCAGGCAAATGACCCCATCAATCAGATCAAGTCAAGTCAAAACAAATGAACTCAAAGCCGACCAATTCAACTAAACCTAAAGAAGAATCAGCTCAACCGTTTCAGTTCCAACCACTTTCGCACATCCAGCCGCAATCAATGCCACTGCTGACACTGCTGATACTGGTCCCTGCTTTCACACAGGTCAATACATTGAGCATCACCATTTCTATCACCAGCTCTGTCCGCGATGCGCTGAGCACAATTGGGAAAAACGCAACCAAAAGGCCGACATGACCGGGATGGTGTGCGCCACTTGTTTCAATTTTGGGCATGGCAGCATATTGCAGCGCTGCAAGTTCTATAACAGTTACTATAACAACAATGATGAGTTTGCTCATTTAGTGCGGGCCGAAACGACATGTCGTCGGATGCTGTATTTTTCATGCAGCGCTTGGTGCAGCATGTCCCCAATTTTCAATTCGTGGGTCTTTCAAGTCAACAAGGTAGTCACTGGTGGCCGGGTGAGGATTGGCTACAAGATTGTGCCGCCCCAAGACTGCTGGCTTTGGCAAACTTTGTGACTATAGGCTTCAGTGCTTATTATAAGCTCATATATATATATACATATTGATACCAGTACTTGTAGTACCGCACAAGGCGGTGGCGGAAGTTTCCAAGATAGACAACTATAGAAGAGGTGAGTTGTTGTGATGCATGGATGGCGAAAGGTGGTGGGAGTTGTGCTTTTAGGAGTGATTGCAGTGGTCACCTCACCCACAACTGCTGAATGTAGTGTGGTGTAGTTGTAGTGTAGTGTGGCGGTAGTTGTAGTCCGAAGTTGCAGGTGTAGTTGTAGTGTAGTTGAAGTTGAACTTGTAGTTGTATTGTAGCTGAAGTTGTGGCTGTAGTTGTAGCATGTTGTAGCTGTAGTTGTAGTTGTAGTGTAGTTAAAGTGGTAGTTGCAGTTGAAGTTGTAGTTGTAGTTGGTGGTAGTTGTAGCTGAAGTCGCACTTGTAGTTCTAGTGTAGTGGTACTTGTAGTTGCACCTGTAGCTGTAGCTGTAATTGTCGAAGGAAGTTTAGAAGTCAAACTTCCGACAATATGGAAAGATGAAAAGCAGAGCAGGGAAGAGGCAGAGAGAAGAGAAAGATTAGAAGAAATAAGAGTAGAAGAGAAAGAGTAAGAAGAAAGAAGATGCAGATGCGCGAAAGGGTAGGAAAGTCGCGAAACACTGTGTTTTTCCAATGATTTGGGGCTCCGGAGGGTCGAAAAGTAGGCTCGCTAAAGCGGCGGGTGCGGAGCCAGCTGGCCAGATGAGAGATGAAAAATTGCACGCCGTTGTGGCGCGAAGCACATTTAGTCAAAATGTACAAAACACACCATTCTCGGACCACTTTTGGAAGTTGAGATGTCGAAAAAGTGCACGCCGTTGTGGCGCGAAGCACATTTCCAAGTCAAAATGTACAAAACACACCAGGTCCGGACCACTTTTGGAAGTTGCGATGTCGAAAAAGTGCACGCCGTTGTGGCGCGCAGCACATTTCCAAGTCAAAATGTACAAAACACCTCAGCTCCGGACCACTTTTGGAAGTTGCGATGTCGAAAAAGTTCACGCCGTTGTGGCGCGAAGCACATTTCCAAGTCAAAATGTACAAAGCACACCAGCTTCGGACCACTTTTGGAAGTTGAGATGTCGAAAAAGTGCACGCCGTTGTGGCGCGAAGCACATTTCGAAGTCAAAATGTACAAAACACCACATGTTTCCGCCACTTTTGGAGGTTCGGATGTTGAAAACAACAAACAAGAATAAAAAAGTTGGGCACTCGTATTGTGGCGCCAAAAAAATCACAATTACAATTACACTCAATTACATTAACACACATTACATTACACTACACTCCACTACCTACATTACAACGTACAACTACCTACTCCCAACACCTTCACTACATTACACTACACTACAAACTCCCCAACAACTACAGACTACACAACTACACTCCACTACACCCACTACAACTCCTCCACTACCCACCCCTCCCACTACTTACAACTAGCCCTACATATCGCGCCCTACCCTACACTACAACTACCCCCTACACTCCACTACACTCCCCACTAAACCCTACACTCCTGTCAGCTAAATTCCCTCCCGCTCCCCCACTAACATGGACCCCTCCACTCCCCTACCCGCGGTCCGGCAACTACAAACTCCACTAACTACACTAATTTACACTACACTAAATTACACTACACTACACTACATTACATTACACGGCACTACACTCCATTCCACTACACTCCACTACACTACACTACAGTACACTACACTACATTAGACTGAATGACACTGCACCATAGATAGACAGGTAGACAGACAGACAGACAGACAAACAGATAGATAGATAGATAGATAGAGAGATAGACAGGTAGACAGCTAGACAGATAGACAGATGAAAGAGAGAGAGAGAGAGAGATAGATAGATCGATAGATAGATAGATACATAGATAGATAGATAGATTGGTAGGTAGGTAGGTAGATAGTCAGAGAAAGAAAGAGAAAGAGAGGAGACCTCAAGCACCTTTCGGTCCATCAGTGGCTTCGCTCTGCCATCCCTGATTCACACCAACCAATCTCTCCTATAGGTTTCCTATTTTTGAAGCTTCCGCCACCGCCTTGTGCGGTACTACTGGGTAGTTTTAGGTAGTGTAGTTGTAGTTGTTGTCGTCGTTGTTGTTGTTGCAGTTGTAGTTGTAGGTGTGGTTGTAGTTGTAGTTGTAGTGTAGTTCAAATTGAAGTTGAATTTGAACTTGCAGTTGCAGTTGCAGTAGTAGTGGTGGTGGTGGTGGTAGTAGTAGTAGTAGTTGTTGTTGTTGTTGTAGTTGTAGTTGCAGTGGTAGTAGTAGTCGTCGTTGCAGTAGTAGTCGTAGTAGTAGTCGTAGTAGTAGTCGTAGTCGTAGTCGTAGTCGTAGTAGTAGTCGTCGTCGTAGTAGTAGTAGTCGTCGTAGTCGTAGTCGTAGTAGTGGTAGTAATAGTAGTAGTATAATAGTAGTAGTAGTAGTAGT